CATTCATAATAAGAAAATAATTATTCGGAAATTTTCAAACAATGCACAGTTGAGAAATATTGTACACCGTCTTCCGCAATTTCATCATTATTTTCGAATTATTTTAATTGTTTCTAACGGTTTTCTTTTAATTTCTTCTAGAGCACTTATCTACTATTTTAACTATTTTTGTTGTATTTTATTTGGTAGTAATTTTTCTTTGTGTACCTACCCAGTGTCGCACTATCAACAAATTGTGTATGTACGTGTATTCACTTGAAGCAATTAATTGGCGTTTGATCAGGTCCAATGAACACTATTATGATAATTTTAGCACGTTCGGTCTCGTTTTTCATTTAACAACTATGAGTGGACGTCTCGGCACTCAATCACGTTTTTTAAGTTCAAATTGAGTGTTTATTTATGTGCTGTGGATTTTTTATTTACATACATACTATTAGGGTATTCCATATTTTACGAAATGAAAATTTTTAACTGTCCACTTCATTTGCATTAGAAGATTAAAAACTGGTTAAATATAAATTAAAGCGGATAATTCAAGCCATCTATATAGGTATGCATACATAGGTATCAGATGAATTCTATAAAACAAGCTACATATGCATGTATGTATTCGATTTAAAGTTCTATTAAAATTGCATCTGAAACTACACCTATGATTACCCAAAACCAAGGCGAATTCACATAAGTGTGTATTACCAGCGAATTTTGTTTTTTGCTGCCGTTGTACTGATTGTCAAAATGATGTGTTTGTTGTAAATTTGTTTTGTACTGATCAAGGCGCATTTATACAAGGTGGTGTTGTAAAATCAGCTGATTTATTCGCTTCACATGTACATATTTTGTTTTTGCTTTTACTAATTTGACAGCACACCCATCAAAAGCAAAAGCAAAGTACATGTAAAATTTGAGGCGAATTGAAATTTGACATAACACCCGTAATAGAAAATACATGTGGTTGTTGTTGTTGTAATCTAAATTGGCCAGTAACACCACCTTGCATGAATTCGCCTTGATTGTCGTCGTGCGTATAATTTGTTAGTGTAGTTGTTTGTTTTTGGGCTGCCGCTACGCAGGCATTACATAATACATAATAATAAAATAAACACAAAGACCAGCAATATATTAGAATACATACATTTTTTTTTTGTAAATAAGGAGATATCTGGAGTTGCGTAGGGAATTTTACGAAATTTCGGGCAAAATCGGGTAATTTCATTGTCGAAATGGGGGAATTCTCAATAATGAGTTGGCTACCCTGAGGTCTTCACTAAACACGCAATTACCGAAAAAAACAAGTAGAACGACTGAAAGCGTGGAGAAAAAAAAAACTATCACAACATTACTGTTTTCAGATTGACATATGTATGTCAAAGGGAAAGCAGCGGAGGTAGTTTTCATGGCCACCATTCAATAGATCAGTTATTTAGCTTTAGGAATAGTATATTTTACTGGACTTTTGCAACAATTGGTAAATCTGACTTTTGACCGGTTTTTCTGCATAAACACTACTTCTATGTGCGCCGTTTCTACAAGCACGCCGTATAATTTGTTTTCCTGCGACAAAGCGCAGTTACCCATGGACGTAAAAACGAAGAACGTGTTAGCTGACACGTTTTTAAAATATTTGTTTAATGACGAGAAAGTTTATTTTGTGAGAGTCAACAATTTTGTGTAACTTGTTGTCGAAAACTTATGATGAGATATATTTAGGAAGGTGTTAAAAATCTGGTTTTTGCAAACATTTAAATTTTATTGCGGACTCCGATAGGATACCTATCCAGAAATAACATTTATACGGCAAGATTTTTCTTCAAGGCGACAAACCCCTAGAAATGGGCGTTTTTTTAAAAAAAAAAAGAGCAATTTCTGAAAAAAAATCGCCAATTTTTTTTTTAATAAAATGCATTAAATCGATTAAACAAATTTTTATTTTATAAATTAGATCTTGTTATCATATATTTTTTAAAACCAAAAACTAATATAATACCTTCAGAAGGTAATAATAAATAACACAAATCACCTATATAATAGTGACGCATACTTTTTTAAAAATATTTTTTGTTAAACACATTTTGCGATAGGACTGCGCAATTATTAAATTTGTTATTCATATTAATTGATTAATCGCACAATCCGCTTTTCAGAGCTCGGCGCTAAAAATAAAATAAAAATCTATAATAAGGCGAAATCAGCTATTTCCACAATTTCTTCAAAATCTTCTGTAAAATTATCGGGGAAAACTAAGTTTTGAATATTTTTATAATTGGAAAGAATTTATTTGAAGGCAAAATATCGCCAATGGCGATTTCATACATTTTTACGTGCAAATATCCAAAAAAAAAAATCGCCAAATTGCCGCGAAATCGCCAAATCTGGACACTCTAATAGGAATAAAAATTGTCTTCCGTTCAGATTCGAATCACGGGGCGCAGGCTTACTAGACGAATAAAAACGCAGCACGGTGTTATACACTCTTTTAGGGACTAGCCGCACATATTTTTGAATTTATGCAGAGTTTTGGATCTGAGATATAAATTCGTATACATAAGTACATGTGTACATACATACATACGTATTCATAAGCAAGTATGTATGTTACTCACTTAACTTTATGAGGGCAATCAATAATTCCACTTTCATAAATTCATACTCCAACCAAGGCAGACGCACTTTCATTAATTGATTCAATTACGCGGTATGTATTTCCTTACTTTGTAGATAAGAAGCAATTGTATTGAAGTCAATTGAAGAATTGAACAAGAAAGTTGTTACGATACAAATAAGGAGCATTAAAAACAGCCGAGGCACCAATCTATAACACTTTAGAGGAGCCCTCAGTTAATGAGCTTTTTTTTCAGCAAAAAGGAAAATTTCCACATTTAATTTATAATAGAAATTTGTGCCTCGATATCGATCCAATCCGTCCAAGATTAGCAATGGGTTCCATTGAATTTAATACATGCGAAGTAAGGGAACATTTTACCTTTCGCCAACCGACATATATCATTGTTTTTTATAGTCTACGTAGAGGAGACCAACTGCAAACAACTGACAGAGAAGTGTCTGTCATATGCATAGACTTGGGGGTAGATATTAGAGCCGCCATGTCGTGTGGAATAAGTTAGGCGGACAAAATTCATTTCCGGATTTCTAGAAGAGGGTAACCTATTAACAAAGCACTGACTGCAATTTTTTTTATGTCCTACATTCTACTGTGGGGTGTGACAGAGTCCAAAAATAAATTTATAATCTTACTGCAACTCAAAAATATTTGATTTTATACTTTTCACAAACCTGCCATTGTAGAAGTGTGCAAAAGTAAAAGTAAAAAGTTTTAAAAATTCATCATATTTCTGGTGGTATTTATTACATCTATGCAACGAAAAAACTGTGGACTATTTCTGATATGAATAAATCAATACAGTATTCCCCACTTAATTGCACTTCAAAAATTGCACAATTTTCGGTTGAATTAAGCAGAGAATTTAAAGATATATCTCTTTTCGATAGCACATATTTTTAAGCAATTATGCGGAAAAACTAATTAACCGGGGGTCAGTTAAATGGGCAATATTGTATACATATGTTTTTATATTATTTTACGCCTTTCAAGAACCGAAAGTAACATGTTATGTCATGTCAGCTGACTAGATTTTGAATATGTCCTATCAGCATCATTTGTGTTTATAAAAATATCCACTATATGCAGCGCACTAGAGTATAACTTTTTTCAGAGCATATTCTTTACCCCCTTCCGGCCTAAATCAAATTGGGTGGGGCTAACATTTTTTTGATGCCATATTATTGTTGGTTGAGACTTAAATATGAACAGCTATAAGCTAGCTTTCCTGGATAGGTTTTTGGCTCTATGAGATTGACCGTGAAGACGATGCTAATATAATTAAGGGCTGCCAGGCATTGCTGTGCAATCCTTTGATCTTAAAATTACCGCGTTCATTGATTTGATGACCGCCTGGCTATCCGGAAGATATTAATCGTAGTACGTAGATACCTCCTCTGCCTGATAGACGCTACAGTGATCCGGAATTCTGATGGATAATTCCAGTTATAATTCTTTCGAAAAAACTCTGTAGCCAACCCTGTTGTCTAGCTTGGATCCATTCATGCATTCAAATGCATTTCCCCCATCTCCATAATCCTGGTGATTGCCACTCTCTTATTTCTCTGTCTTAAAGAGTCTATCGAAAATGGGTTCGGGGGCTGAGTAGTAGATTTCTTGGTTACAACCACCCATAGCGTGAAGTATCGAAACATGGCCAAATCTTCCTATAGCGGCATAGTTTTAGTCTGAGCGCCGAAGTGGTGATTACGTCTTTTCCTACCAGATTCACTGCAGGCCAGTTGGTTGCACTTTTTGGCGCTTTATTTGGGGTGATCCTTAAGCCACACGAGATCATAAAACGCTGTTCTTTGAACCTTACTCCGGAGCTTTAGGTAACTTCTCTTTTGAGTTGATGGCCACCATACAAGTATTATATACAGTGGCATAGGCCTAACTACGGAAGCATAAAGCCAATATGTAATACGGGGTGTTAAACCCGATCTGTAATGTTGGCCATCTTAACTTTCCCATAAGCCCAGATACACCCAGATTTAGCCATTTTTTCAATCCTAGACTTAAATTTTTTCCCGACCGATTGAACAATCGTACATACGTATGTATGTACTTGTAAGCACTTTTTTCGGCCAACATCTACGGCCATTCTTGCCTTATAACGGTTTGTCGAATATGTTCTATTTTTTATGTAATTAGATTTCTTATTTTCAGTATGTTTAGATCCAAAATATCAATTCATTTGTACTATTTTAATTTATAGAATTCTGGTCTGAGAGACGAACCTGAAATGCGGACATCTGGCGCACATCAAAGTATACTTAGATATACACTTCCTGTATTTTTGTGATATTAACACAGGTGAGTTTCGAATTCATATAAAATTCTTCCGTTCCACAAGTAAGGCTCTTTCTACAGTATTTTTCCCAAGACAAACCACGGCGTGGAATGGTCTGTGCGGAATGCGAATAATTCATGGCTAACCGTGTCTACACACGACCTCACTATAATAGTTCAGGAAAATAAAACTTTTGAAGTTCTATTAAAGTAAGTACTAAGGCGCGTGGTGTTTAGTTTTGACATGCAATAATTCCGACGCAAAAAATACACAATTTCATCAATTTATTAGTGGTTCACCGGATCAAGATATCTCCGTGAGTTTGGTGAGACAGCATGAGGCTCTAGTTAAATTGTATCCAAATGACTTCTCAATCAGCTCGGCGAATCCACAAAACCAGACAATCTACGTGCTTGGCGTGCAACCTGGAAATTTGGAAATCACGGCTAAAAGCGTACCAGACGACTTAGGGTTGTAAGTATGCCTAATCAGTTGTGATTCCGATTTCACCAATGAGTAAATTTACAATAATTTATTTTTTTTTTTCTTGAACAGTGTGGACGACTTGTTTGTTCGCGTTACTGTTGCCAATTCCGAGGCTATAATTTATATATCTGTAGTATTTGGATGGCTTTATTTCGTAGCGTGGTCCATCTCATTCTATCCACAAATCTATATTAATTTCAAACGCAAGTCTGTTGTTGGACTCAACTTTGACTTTTTGGCGCTTAACTTGGTCGGCTTTGTGTTGTACAGCATTTTCAATTGTGGCCTTTATTGGATACCTGAGATACAAGCAGAATATGCTAGCCGCCATCCACGTGGTCTAAATCCAGTATTATTGAATGATGTTGTATTTGCGCTACATGCAGTTTTTGCAACAATTTTGACAATCATTCTTTTGTCGAAGTACAAGTATAGGGACCTAAACCTCAATACTAGGCGCTGTCAATATTAGTTGCGTTCGCGTACCTGTTAATTCTTGAAAGTTATCAAAAACTATCAGCGTACGCAAAAAACTTGCAAAGTAGGCGGAATTGAGACAGCAAAGTGACATTTCATTTTGAGGGGAACAGGAAACCAGCTGAACAAAAATAGCTAGTAGGAACTTACACAAATCACAAAACTGAATTTGATGGTTTGGAAGTTAAAAATAATAAAATGTGACTAGTTAAACTTGTAAGAACTAAGTAGTTGTTCGTTTAATCAATAAACTGTGTCAGGATAACACTTAGCGATTAGTTTTCGTACGTTTTAAATTTTACACTTTTGAGTGTAAACAAAAATTCAATCAGCTGTTCGTCTAACTTGCAAAATTCTATAAATTTTCTGTGCGCATACTATTCTGGATACTTTTCTCTTATGAGAGAACAGATGACATTTTGCCGGAAATTTGCTGTTGGATATTTTTTACTGGAGATTTTATACGAACGTACCTATTGTAACAGTTTTTTGATTTGTTGATCTTCAAATGTTCACATTAGGGCCGTTCAGGATGTTGTGTTAAATGGTCTTCGATTTGTAGTTGGAATTGCATTTGCAAATATTATGCTTGCTGCCATGGCAACCGTGTCCATATTATTGTTGTGAATTTACAAATGCACAGCCTGAACAGCCCTTTTGTCTGCTCGAAAGCATGAAAAGGGGCTAAGCAGATCATACTTGCTTATGCCCGCCAAATATGTTCTCACTTTTCCATTTGAATTTTCCAATAAGCGAGCAGACCCTATATGTATGCGGTTTCTAACACCTAGTGCCTAATTGCATACTACGTTCTCGATAAACCCACATNTATTTGCACAACTGCATGTGTGAAAAAGCTGGGTGCATTCCAAAACATCAAATTACAAAGCATACGTGTCTTTTATTTCTAAACCGCATTAGAAGAAAAAGTCTAACTTGCAGAGCCTAGTATAAAATGAGCATCTAACCGCGGCTGCGCACTTTTGGAATTACAATCTACTGAAGTTTAGAAATAAAAGAGACCGATGCTTTGTGTTTTGACGTTTTGGATTGCAGCCATTGCACTTATATACGAAATTTTTTCCGTACATACATGTGTATGTATATGCACTTCTCATATATCACATACCAAAACTCATTAAAGTAATAAGTTGAAGTCACTGAAATCATGTTGAGCCTAGCTGGACGTATCACTCCACAAAACTCTTCCGGAGTTTATAAGCAGACTTTTCATAACTTACAAGCATGCAGAGGTGCTAAAAGATGGTTACCATATCCACAGTGTCTACCCAGCATTTTTTAAATGCAAAAATAGATTTTTTTTTGTACATTCCATCTATATACCTACATACCAATATGGAATTCCGACTGGAAATGAAACAGGACCAACCGAGTGAAGTACTGTTGTTGTTGTAGCGGCTAACGCTGCTAGAGTCGTCAACCATCCTTCAATCGTTTTCGTCAGGCTTAAATAACGGTACGTACAGAAAACGTGTTGCAAAGGTGGGGTCAGACCAGAGGGAGAGCGATTTTAGTTAAATTGTTTTTGGTTACCATTGGTGTTTTGAAAATTGAAATGTGCTTCTTCCACCTAATCCCTTGAGTTCCGCTGTTCTCACAACGGGAACTTTCTCAAATACGTGCTCCACAAAAAATATTGTTTTAATTTGTAATTATGTATTACATCATTATTACAGCGCGGCCAACAGCGGATCTCAAAAATCGCATCTGGTATCTTGGGTGTGTTCGCCATAATTGTATTGGTCATCGTAATTCTCGCCGCCGTTGACGTCCTGAATTGGCTGGATTTTCTCTATTACTGCAGCTACATTAAATTATCGATAACAATTATAAAATATGTGCCACAGGTAAGCAACCACTACAGTTTTGATTTATTTGTTACCCTGCAAAAAATGGGACTAATCCGGGATGACTCCGGGAGCAATCATGAATATTTGTTTAATTGTGAACAAATACATACATACATACGTCTACGTACAGGCACTAATGAACTATAGACGCAAAAGTACTTTGGGTTGGAGCATTGGCAATATTTTATTGGACTTTACAGGTGGAACCCTCAGCATGCTACAGATGATTTTGAATGCCTACAATTATGGTAATTATGACGATATTTCGAAGATTTTTGGTTTCATTAAAATATGTACATCATAATATATGTATGTATTTACATATATACCCACCCATAGATGATTGGGTGTCAATTTTTGGCGATCCGACAAAGTTTGGCTTGGGCTTATTCTCAGTGCTTTTCGATGTGCTTTTTATTCTGCAGCATTATGTATTTTACAGGTATGTATGTTGCACAGTATCTGAGGTATGATTTTTTTTGGTCTGGCACGCGATTTTAAATGTACCAGTATACATACTTATTGTACATACCGCTCGTCTGATGACGAACATGTTTTATATAATATATCTGAGCTATGACGTTCAATTAGCATGCGAGTGATATGAATCTAAAAAAATATATACTTATGTAGTACATTTCCTTCTTTGCTATCCGCTTCTTTTAGGAATGCACAACAGCTTTCCAGCTCCACGCTCACCAACGCCACAGAAGTGGAAAATGGCAAAGATGGCGAGCAGCGCTAATCAACCAACACCAACACACTAATCTACTTAGTTCATATTTTCTGTGCACATTGTTTTGTGCAATTTTCCAGCAGAGATTTTCCGGAAGTATTCTGAGATAATTTATAAAGTGCTTGCATATCTAAAAATGCATTTATATTAATTTGTATGTATGTATGTGATTTGATAATTAAATTAATTTTTATACTACTTAAGTAAAGTATGTGTAATAATTTAAACATTTAAGCATGTATGTATACAACGTCGATGTTTTTGCAAAACCGCCCATCGCCCAATTGCAAAACCGCTTATCTTACGGCACTCAAATTTTACAGGAGAGCGAAAAATTGATTTTTCTTTGAAGGCTTTGCCTTGATAATCGATACTTCCTCTAGCTATTATTTTACAAATCTATTGTTTTAATTTAACGATTTTTATGCATAAATCTCGATGCCTGGAGCTCAGGGTTACCAAATCTAATTTTTGGCACAGCGGCGATTTAGGCGGTTTTGAAACTGGTCGATGGGCGGTTTTGCAAAAACATCGACGATATGTATTTGTGTATATATATGTATGTAGATATATAAATATGTGCGTAAATCATTGTTGTATTCAATAAAAGTAGCTAAATTAATCAATGTTCTTTTAAAGATCGGTCCACAAATATTTTCTAACTATGTAATGTGGTTGCGCAAGGAGTTGGTTAAACATAGTAGAGATTTTTTTTTTGAATGATGTCCAAAAAAGCAAATTCTTTGGGTGGATCAACTTAAAAATAATATTTTGGGAGAAGAGCTTTTCCAACCCATGGTTTTGGGTTGGCAAGGGGGACAGCTTTGCAATGACAAGGCACCTGTGTTGCCTTTGATAATTTACAGAAAGTCGCAAAAAAGGGTTCATCGACGAAAAATCGGGCCACCATATTATTTTTGCTTTTCTTTACCAGCAAAATAATAACAGGCCTATTCTGTACAGAAACTCACTGGCAGTTTTCAAATGTCCATTGATATTTAAGCTTAAAAAACTACGAAAAATTTATATTGCGCGTAGTCATGCGACCAGGCCCACGACCAGTACTCAGTTCAAAAGTTTATGTATTTTTCTTGATTTTGTTACACGGTGTTAATAGTATCTCTGCCAGTTTTAGCACGTTTATAAATTTTTTTTGTTAAATGATTCAAAGAGACCAGCTTAGATAGAAATTAGGGTGTCTGTCTTAAGGCCCTAACTTTGTTCCAATGCAGGAGACAAAGGATTCCAGTCACCTAGCTAATAATGATGATGAAAGTTTGCTATACTCTTGCAACTGGTCAACTAATACAAAGTTATCAAACATTCTCATCGAACGTAATACCTTAATAATTGTGATTGCAACTCGAACCAGCTGAAAGCACGAAACCTGTTGGTGTTATCAGTAAAGGTAAAAATTATGTCTAAGTAACTACATATGTATGTACATACATATTTAGGAGAGCAATTAAAAACAACCTATTTGTTACTTATATAAATTTATACTCCTTACAATTCAGACGATCATCGCGCGCGTTAATTTGAATTGTGAGGAATTTTTATATGTACCTTGCCGCGAAAAAAACTAAAGGGATTTATTAATTTGAAGCAAATGTGTACACATAGTATGTATGTACCTACTTCAGTATATTTATGTGCCCCAATAGGCAATTCGGAACCTAAATACATAAATACTATAAAAAAAAAAAAACAAGAATGAGTGCGCCTGGGCCGCGCTAAAGAAGGCAAATTTCATTTTCATTGATTCATTTCTTAACCGTGTCATAATCCTGATATGTTATATGTTTCGAACTACTGAACTAACATAACATAACACTGGGGGTGAGTGATTTTTAATTGATCATATCGCAAATAAAGAAATAAATTTTATTTGTGATTAGAATCGCTGGCCAATTCAGAAAGAAAAAAATTTCGGCAGCTTTATCTTTAGATAAATTTTAAGACTACATTTTTTCGATGTATTTATTTTTGTTGTTTGCGAAAAACTTCCAGCAAACGACCGATATGCACTTGGGTGAAAATCATGTGGCAACCATGCGTGAATTCGTTATCCAAAGTCTCACTGGGCTAACCGACAAATATTTTTGTAAGTATAGTCTTCTTTTTTTAAACAACTTGAATTAAGTAGCTGAGTGTTAAGTTAATTCTTAGTCTTTAAGAACAGACGAGCGATGAGAGGCCTTTTTGGTGATGCACTTAACTAGGAAAGTGTAATGCAAACGTCGCCGATAAAAAAAAATATAAAAAAACATTGGCGGATGATACATACGTACATACATATACATTTATGTATGTATCTGTACTCTACTGTTATCGTCAGGAATAAAAAATTTAAACAATGTCGTGCTTAAAAAGGTATGAAATGGTAAAAGACAATGCAAAAAGATTCTAAATTTTCCACTGAACGGTATAATCTACAAAAGCTAAACGCAGTAAAATTAAAAAACTTAACCGTCGGGAACGTGAAAGTGTTGATATTTAATGCAGAGGAGGTAGCCGCTACGCTTGTTAAATACGAAACATTTCCATGCAGCTGGGGACAAGCAACTTTCAATTCTACAACATTGAATCGCACATCGAAATATTCTTCAAAAGTAACCAAAAGTGATAAATATATGTACATTTGTATATTAAGTGGGCTCAAAAATATAAAAACTTCCATGAATTAGAGATAGTGGCTTCTTATAAAAATATATTGTGAGAAAAAGTAACAATTTAACTGACCCAGACATTTTTGTTTTTATTTTCTATTTGAAGTAGAAATATTTCTAGAGCATCTAGATGCATTTCTGCAACAAAAACAAAAATATAAAAAAATGTCACTTATGTCCTTTTTGCGGTTACGGCTCGATAAGCTAATAAATCACGTTTCAAACCATCCATATTTAAAATTTCTGTGTAAAAAAAAAAATCCATATCTTTTGGCATATAAAAGCAAGTGCGATTATCCGAACTCAATTCAATCCCTATACCACATTTGAAATTGTTTTTGAATTACGAATTTTGATCGCAGTTTAATTTACAGAAAAAAGATTCTGAGCGAGGATCGTAAAATGCGGAGATCTAGCGCATACCAAAGTATACTCAGATATACAAGTTCCTTTATTTTTCTAGTATTAACAACAGGTGAGTTTGATATCCGCAGACAATTTTTCAATACCGCTCTTCTAACGGCATCTATCTCAGCACAAACCACGGCAGTGGAACAAATTGCGCTTAACTCGAATAACTCATGGCTAACTGTCTCCACCCACGATCTCACAGTACTAGTTCAAGAAAATATAACTTTTGAAGTGATATTAAGGCAAGTACAAAAATATGAGACGTGTAAACTTCCCCTACAATAATTGAAAGCCAAATTTGCATTTACACCAAAACATTTGATCAATTTTGTAGTGGTCCACTAGATAAGGACATCTCAATCAGATTTGTAAGACAACATGAGGCACTTGTTGAATTGTATCCACATGAATTCACAATCAGTTCGTCCAATCCACAAAACCAGACAGTAAACATACTCGGTGTTAGACCTGGACATTTGGAGATCACGGCTGGAAGTGTACCGAACGATTCGTGGATGTAAGTATGCTTGGACTTGCACTTTTGATTTCTAAAAACATTTCTAAAGCTGTACATATAAACTTTTTATCGACAGTGTCAACGACTTATTCGTACGCGTTATAGTAGCCAATTCTGAGATTATCAATTACATATCGCTCGCGTTTGGCTGGTTTTATTTTTTAGCCTGGTCCATCTCATTTTATCCACAAATTTATATTAATTTTAAGCGCAAGTCCGTGGTTGGACTCAACTTGGACTTTCTTGCCTTCAATGTAGTTGGTTTTGCGTTATATGCCGTTTTCAATTTTGGCCTTTACTGGATACCCGAAGTACAAGCGGAATACAACAGCCGTCACCCGCGTAGTGTAAATCCGGTTTTGTTAAACGATGTAGTTTTTGCACCGAATGCATTATTAGCAACAATTTTGACAGTCATGCAATGTTTCATTTATGAGGTGAGTTGAAGAATATTTACGAGAATGCATGTACATTTGGCTACAAATATGTACATATGTATGTAGTTTGATAGTAAAGTTCTTTGTCTGCCCTTAAAATTATATCTGAAGCCAGAGAGCTGAAAGGATTTGGAAAAATATGCTCTCATACCTCAAATACAGTGTCCATATTAGAGATGGGTGCGGGACTAAATAGCCAATCCTGACCCCACTCATGCCGATATTCAAATTTTAAGTCCAGAGTCCGCCCATCCCGACGCACAGTGTTTCGACTATATGTAAAATAGAAAATTGAATTTCAAAAACTAAAAAAATGTCCACATGTTAGTTAGAGTCATAAGAGACCTGAGTGCCATGTTTCATCAAAGAGCAGTCTGGCATAGTACATGTTTTTATTTTCATCGAATTTCGAAATACCCTATACCGATGAAAAAAGTTCGTCATTAAGCAAAATAAAACTTTATGTAGATTTATGACAAGCCAGCGTCTCTAATTTGACCTCTCCTTTTTGAATTTTCTTTTCAAAATAATAATAATAATAATAGCTCTGATCCAGTACTCCATGAACTTACAGGATTTTACACGAACTTGCAGGAAGTTGCAGGAAAAATGTTCCCGTACTCTGAAATCCTCCAAAATCCTGTAAATGAGAGCGACTTTTGGAGAGTTGTGTAGAGAATGAAGTTGCAAGATTTTACCCGAACTTTTTCTTCTGGTAAAATCATGAAAAGTGTCAAGCGATCACTGGTTGACGTTTTTACAGGAAAAATGGTTTTTTTTGTTCCCGTACTTTTTGTTGTTACTCACTTTTTACTCTCACTACAGAGAGTAATTTTGCTGTTTGACAGTTTTATAGGATTTTTCACGAAAAGTATTGGATCAGAGCTAATCAGTGTTGCCAGAAGTTTTTGGGCGGACCGGCTAAATTGGCCGAAAAAACGTCTAGAAGTCGAAGTGTTAGATCGTTCAAAAGGGATTTCAATTAGAAATGTTCAACGTCTCCAATAATTAAAATCTGGTCATCTGGACTTAATTAGGTAAAATTGCGTGTCGATCGAATGTTACTTTCAAAGATTGATGAATAAACTCGATGCATCCTAGTTTTTTTCAATTTTTCCTCAGCTGTAAAAATAACACCGTGCGACAGTAAATTTTACACTAAAAAAAATCAATATATTGGCTAAATATTTGGTAGCCATATTGTTATTCTACATGCATTGAATTTTTAAAATAATTTTTTGGAATAGATGATATTAACGAAATTACAAAGTCCTTAAAAAAAATCCTGATGTCAGAGAGAAAAACTAAAAACGTAGTTTTATTATATTTGGCCCACAGTTTCGAGTATTGCTTTGTGTGTTTAGAAATTTTTTGTCTTTGTCGTACGTTGAATCTAAAACATCTACATAAGAAAACGAATGCCAAGAGTGCTCGAGAGTTAGGGTGGCCAGATATTATAGTGACATAATCAGTACAGTTGATATCAAAAATCAGTACAAAGCCATAAAAAACAGCTCATTTTAAGCGAATTTTTTATTATTAACAATATAACAACCAAGTAACAGCGCATTATTTAAAAAAAATAACTAATAGACTTTTAAATCATATAGTATTATCAATATAAAAATTCATTCCTTACTTAATTTAAATTTTTTATAAAAATATATATAGTCAATTCTATAACAAAAGACATGTGAGTTGAAGTATCAAACTTTCTAGAAAATTTATAAAAATTAAGAAAACGGCGCTACTCGAACAACAAAATTGTCCACTCAATCTTTGGCCTTTTCTTAACACCTCCATGTTACAGTTTTGTGGTGTCCACTAATCTATCAAAGCCAATGTTATTCGCATTATTTTTGTAATCCATAATAATTTCTGAATTTGTAATAGTACATAGTATACTATTATTACAGCGCGGCAATCAAAGAGTCTCAACACTTGCTTCCGGTATTTTGGGTTTGTTCTTCATATTTGTATTAGTAACCATGATTCTCTCTGTACTTAATATCCTTCATTGGCTGGATTTTCTCTACTACTGTAGCTATATTAAATTAATAATAACAATGGTTAAATATATACCACAGGTAAGTTAGCGCTGTAGTGTGCATTTGCCCTTATTTGATTAATTGTGAGTGAGTTTGATTGCAGGCACTGATAAACTATCGACGCAAAAGTACTGCCGGTTGGAGTATTGGAACTGTACTAATGGACTTTGCTGGCGGCGCTTTTAGCATGCTGCAGATGATCTTAAATGCCTACAATTATGGTAATGATAAGTGGTGTTGAAAACGTTGTATTTTATTTTTTTTGTAATAAAAATGTATATTTTTCCCATTTATAGATGATTGGATTTCAATTTTTGGTGATCCGACTAAATTCGGTTTGGGCCTACTGTCCGTTATTTTCGATATGTTATTTATTCTGCAGCATTATGTATTTTACAGGTTAGTTAGTACAGATTGTCGAAATGTTTTAAAAAAAATTTAGACTCTACGAGTATTTGATTTGTTAATTTCTTAATATGCGATTTGGAGAAATGTACATACATATCGTGTATGTACATTATGTAATATACATTAACGTGGTTTTTATTTTTATATTTCTTTAAATGTCATAGAACGGAGAGTAATCCACCAGAAAAATCGTCCAACGGGCTTTATAATGGAGCAACGGGGGAGTACTCCTCTTTGGTCAAACATCCTAAATGTAATTGCGAATCTTTAAGTTTAAAATAGGCGCATGGCATAAAAACCATTTGAAATTGGCTAAGAGGCACATTATTATGTATTATGTACATACATATGTATATTTATGTAAGTTATATACTCCTAAAGTTAATTATAATAAAGTATTGTAAGATCCGTTTTCTATATCTGCACTTCACAAAATATTTACTTTTAAGTTAAATTAGACTTCAGTCTTTCTTTTCGGCTATAAAATTTGCACAAACGGAAGCTTATGATCCGCATATTAACGTATGTACACTTATTAGAATATACGAAGTATTTGTAAATTAATATGGTGTTCGCATGAGGCGATTTTCCAGGCAATTTCAGAGGCGATTAGTTGAATCAAAAGTTGGCTGCACCCCAACTTTCATTGGCAGCGATTAATTGAAAGTCCGTTCACATCAGGCGATTTTTGCTTTCAACTAAAAGATGCCTGTAAAATCGCCGCATGCGAACACCGCATAATGCAATTCTATATGGGCAAATCTAAAAAATAGGTACCCTTTCCAAAAAAATATTTAATTTTTACATTTTTGAGCACACCTATGTTTTATATATAATTTTATTCGTAATCTCTTAATAAATCGATTAATATAAGTGTAATTCATTTTCATCAAATGCTTCAAAAGTTAGACGACGAATAAACATGAAATAGAAAAGAAAAGAATAAGCTGGTTTCACATTACGCTATTCAAGTTCTAAATTTTGAGCAATGATTTTGAAAGTTGAACTCTCTTAATTGGAACGTTCTAAATTCAATGGCATACCCCACTTTACCAGATTGGCTGCGGTTTTCGAGATAACGGCACTTGAAAATTTTATATTAAATTTTATCTATTTTATAAATAACTGCCTCAATTTTGAAGTTATTTTACTAAAATTTTGCACATAACGGGTTTGTAATATTACCTTAATTATTCATTAAAATTATCGCAATGGGTTCACATTAACATACAGCTCCAATGCAACTGATTACGCAGATATGTGGAAATAAAGGAAATATTAAAATACAAACGTGTGTAAAATTTTTGTAAATTCGGTGTTTAAAAACCTTTAAATCTTAAAAAAAAAACTTGCTGAACTATTTCCTAAAACGTAATCATAAATAATCCAATAGGGAACAGATTTTTAT